CCTGTCCCAACTGCTGAGGGATTGAGGATAAGACTGTGTCCTGTGTTGCTAATGCCTTTTCCTTCATGTTGTTTTCCTTTGCCACCTCGGTCTTGCGCTGTTGTGTCTGCTCGGAATGAGTGAGTTTTTTCGTTTGGGCCCTGGTTCCGTCTGAGTCTTCATCTTCCGAAATATACTGTCCGGTCGCAGGGCCCGGAGTGGTTTGGGGCCGCTTGTTGTCGTCTTGCGACGGACCGGGTTTTGTCTATTGTTTTTGAACCCACATCCCTTTTCCTCCTTTCTTCCCCACTATTTTCCAGCCCGAGTTTTCCATGTTTCATTGCAGGGGGGTTTCTTGTACCTTCTCTTCCACTGGGGTTGGGGGGGTCCATGTGTTCGGGGGGCGCGAGGCCCAGTCCGGTTCACCCGCTTTCTCCCATTTCCACCCAGTTGATGTGCCCTCCTTCACACGGTCCTCGATGGAAACCCATCCTTCGTGCCCCGGGACTACCGTTCTCCAATGGCTTATCTTGACCGGATCCCGTATCGGTATCCCCGTCGCCCGGATCTTTTTTTGCGGATGCAGCGGGCAGGCGTACTCTGTACTCAGATGACCGTATACCTTGCATTTATGGCACCACGAGCGCAGTTTGTGTGTGGTTTGGATCATGTTTTCTTTTCCCCCCACCTGATACGGGATCACGTCATCAAGGGAGAATGGTTGGCCCTGGGGAAAGTCCAGTGCCAACATTAAGTAGTCGTCCCTCTTTGCCACGAAGGAGGGGAGGGGATCTATGAATGCGACAATGTCGTACATCAATCCGAAATCGTACACGAAAGCCGCTTGGATCTCGACCGGGATATGACGGAATTCTACCCAGTGAAAATCCTGCATCAGTTGTGCCCTCCTCTCTTCGGGCCCCAGTCTTCGCTGTGGCGTCCACAGGTAGATCCGAACCTCCGATCTTTCACAACGAAGACGCTTCCACCCCTCGATCTCGGTCTTGTCTGATTCGTTCATGCACAGTACTGTAAACAGGGTGTTGGAGACCGGTTGGATCAAGAACTGGTCGCGGGCCAAGTCGGCACTCTTTTTCAGTACTTCCAATCGATGGCCAATCCATTTAGCTTTATCATTGACTGATTTGAAGACAGCGTCGTCATGGAACACCCAGTTGTTAGCATGTTTCCTATAGATCTCGTCCCTGCACACAATCCCGTTTTTGGGGTACGCCTTTATCATGACTTGCTTGCCACCTTGCGTTATCACTCGTGTTTCAGATGGGAGAAGGAATTTTGGCAAGAAAAAGGCCCGGGCCAGGGGCAGTCCGTCCAAAGGGATATCAAGATTTTCGGCCCGCGGGCTGCCCCGGCCCCGTTGGATGGTGAGAGTTTGACCCTGGTGTGGATTACGGAGTTTGTCCGCCCAGGTGAGTTGTGGTTGGTCGTCGGGGGCCCTCCCCTTATGTGATGTTTGCCCTCGCCATTCCATTTGTTTCTCCTCCTCCCTTAGTATCCATGTGTCCCCCATGTGTTGTATTTCCTTGTTTAAATCTTTCATTGTGTGTGGGGGGGGCGGGGGGGCCGCCGGGCCGGTGTTTTGGGGGGGTTATTCTGATGGGCCCAGCGTTTGAGGCGGAGCTGCTAGTCCGCTAGTTGCCTCATAGCTCCGCTGTAGAAGAGCATAGAGTCCAATCGTTTGTGTGCTCGTTGCAACTTATTAGTAGGTCTCATGATGCTGTGTTAGTGCTTTCTCTGTACAATATTCTAAGTGTTATTCGTTGATTATCGGGACGTGGTTTTCTTGTTTTTGTGTTCATTTTTTTAAACTGTGGCTTGCTTTTTTCCACCGCTTTTGTCCGACAGTCAGCAATTCAGCGAGCTTCGGGGGTTGGTCGAGTTCTGCCTGCACTTGTGATCGCTCTTGCAGCTCGCCCAACTCACAGTCGTCTCCCGGTTTTCTGTCCCTTTTATGCTAACTGATGTTGCGTTCCTTCACCCCCTGTCGTGTTTCCCTTGCTCCCCCACCCGTCTTCTCTCCTTACCTCCGTACTTTCCACCCAGCCCCGCCCTGTCCGTCTCGACTCACTCCTATTCCTCTCTCTCTCTTGTGTGATCCCAGGTTAGCATCACTGTGACAATCCTCAGGCTCACACCCGCTCCCTTCCTCCCACCTGTGAGCCCTGTGATCAATGCTTCCGTGACGCGTTCCACCCCCGTTCCACGTCACCCCACCCCCAGCCGTCATCCACCTCTCTCGTTTCCCCGGTCTCGGACTGTCGCCCCTACCTCTTTGTTATCAGTTCGTCCACCTCTCTCCTTTCCCCGGTCTCGGACTGTCGCCCCTATCTCTTTGTTATCAGTTGTCGGTGCTCAACTTTACTTGACCTCCCGTTCTGAATTGCTTTTTGCCCCACCGCTCCCGCTCTCCGCTTTCCGATGTATCTTCTACTCCTATCCTTTATTCCACGTCCCGTGCCTTTCCTTCGCATTTCCTGTCCAGCCCCACCCTATCCACCCTCGACTCTTTCCTATACCTTTCTCTCATGTGTGCTCCCGGGGTAGCCTCACTGTTACGCTCCTCTCCACCTATGCGCCCTGTAATCAGCGCTTTCGTGGCGCGTTCCCACCCCCGTTCCACGTCACTCCGCCGTAGGTCGTCGCCCTCCTCTCTCCTTTCTCCCCTTCGTCCTGTTCCCCCACCTATCCGCCTCCTCCCTCCTTTCTCCCCGTCGCCCTGTTCCCCCACCTCTCCAACCCCTGAGCTTTACTCTATGTCCTGTGACCCGGATCCGACGGTGTTTGTGGTGTAGCCCACGTTCCTATACCTTTCTCTCTTGTGTGCTCCCGGGTAGCGTCACTGTTATGCTCCTCTCCACTTGTGCGCCCTGTGATCAGCGCTTTCGTGGCACGTTCCCACCCTCGTTCCATGTCACTCCACCGTAGGCCGTCGCCCTCCTCTCTCCTTTCTCCTCGTCGCCCTGTTCCCCCGCCTCTCCGCCTCCTCCCTCCTTTCTCCCCGTCGCCCTGTTCCCCCACCTCTCCACCCCCTGAGCTTTACTCTATGTCCTGTGACCCGGATCCGACAGTGTTTGTGGTGTAGGCCACGTTCCTATACCTATCTCTCTTGTGTGCTCCCGGGGTAGGGTCATTGCTACGCTCCTCTCCACCTGTGCGTCCTGTGATCAGCGCTTTCGTAGGGCGTTCCCACCCCCGTTCCACGTCACTCCGCCGTAGGCCGTCACCCTCCTCTCTCCTTTCTCCCCGTCGCCCTGTTACCCCACCTCTCCGCCTCCTCCCTCATTTCTCCCCGTCGCCCTGTTCCCCCACCTCTCCACCCCCTGAGCTTTACTCAATGTCCTGTGACCCGGATCCGACAGTGTTTGTGGTGTAGGCCACGTTCCTATACCTTTCTCTCTTGTGTGCTCCCAGGGTAGCGTAACTGTTACGCTCCTCTCCACCTGTGCGTCCTGTGATCAGCGCTTTCGTGGCGTGTTCCCACCCCCGTTCCACGTCACTCCGCCGTAGGCCGTCGCACTCCTCTCTCCTTTCTCCCCGTCGCCCTGTTCCCCCACCTCTTCGCCTCCTCCCTCCTTTCTCCCCGTCGCCCTCCCCCACCTCTCTACCCCCTGAGCTTTTCTCTATGTCCTGTGACCCAAATCCGACGATGTTTGTGGTGTACAGTCATGGACTGTCATCTCTATCTCCTTTGGTTTGTACGTCCGGCCCACGTTCCGCCCCACCCCCGGATCCGAGATCCTCGCTGTCGGTACTCAACCGTATTTGTCGTTTCCACGACTCATCATGTTCAACATGATGCCAATTTTGGGCACCTATGGCGGTGCCCACCAATTCGTATCCAGTGGCAGCTCAGCATGCTGCTGGCACTTGAGGGGTGGAGTGAGCGGTTCGGGGTGCAACTGGGGGTGACGTGCAACCGTCCCAAAGGTACTCGGAAATAGGTGTAAAGCGTGTAGTTTGAGTATGGCCTTATAAAAAGTTCTAATTGATAAAACTCAAGTTCTTCAAAAAAAAAGTGCAAAGAGAAAAGAGAAAGCACAAGTACTGGGTTTGCGAGTGCTTAGTAGGTGCAGACTAATGTGACTTGTCTTGGGGGCGCCCCTTTTTTGGGGGGTTTGCGAAGTCCATTCCACCGGCTCCAGAGCCAAGTCCTGGATTGGTTTGCCTGGCTGGAACGCCACCCTCTGTCCCTTCTCTTCGATAACTCTCACCCGATACACTGATGTTTTGTCTCTCCATTCGAGGTGCGCCCTACTCCCTTGGAGGGTGTTTGTTTTGGTGATAGCGTAGTATTCAATCAAAGACCATTTGGGGGAAAACCATGTGTATCAAACCAATCCGCTGCGGGGTCTCTGTGGTTGCCACCCAGAGGTTGACTGGGCGTTGGCCAGAGGGTTGATCGGAGCGTTGACCAGGGTGTGACCGCGTTGACCAAACGTTGACCGAGGCGTTGACCACGATTTTGACCAAGCTGGAGTTGGTATAATCTCGCCAAGCCCTTAGCCTATCACCTCGCCCTATGGATGTGCACTCACCCTATGGTACTTGCTGAGTCTGTCTGTCTCTTCGTTCTGCATTGAGTTTCTTATGTCCAGGTGATAGGACTCCGTTTATGAAGGATAGGGCCTTGTTGACCAAACCCACACGGGCTGAGTAGGGCTAAAGACTGTGTTTGACGACTCGACTGTCCCGGAGGACACGAACCCTCCCAAGGACCGATATTGACCGGCGGGCTGCTCGGTATGGCACGGTAGGCCCAAAATCCGAGTTGTGGGCTGCACAACGGGCTGTCTAGGTCTTGAGAGGATCTGCTGACCGCATCGTCCTGTTTGCGACGTTAAAGAATTCCTGAGGAGTTACGGGGGATCTCTTTAAATGCCTCCTGGTTAGCAACAGATCCTGTAGTGACAGCTGTAGTATTAAAGTTCAAGCTAGAGACCATCGTTGACAGGGTTCTATACGGATCTTGTGGTTCATAGACTGAGTCAGTCTTACGTAAATCAGTCAGGGGGGACATCTAAGTGGTGAGGAGCGAAACCGTCACTTGGTTGTGCGTCTGTCACCATGGTAGACACGCGTACAGGAACGAGCACCTCCCCTTATACAGCAGAGCAGGATGCGAAGGCCGCCGCCATCCTGAAAGAGAGAAGAGAGGAGGCCAAGAAGAAGACCTTGATAGAAGAACAGGCAGCGAAGTTGAAGAAGATTGAGGACAAGATGGCCAGAGGAAAAGAAAAGTTAAAGAAAGAAAAAGAAGAGAAGCTCAAGGCAGTAGAAGAGGAGGAAGAACTGCCACTGGAAAGGCGAAGGACAGGAGGAAGAGGAGAATCCAACGGAACAAAGGAAGATCAGATGGAGAAGAAGATTACGAAGTGGGTTGCTGGTTTATCCCTGGGAGAAGAAGAGGAGGCACGAATGTATGTGCCCAGGGAAAAACAAGAGGCGGCCATGAGAGAGTGGGATGCAGAAGAAGACCCATTCAAGCGGCAGGCTATAGAAGATGAGAAGAGGATGGAGTGGAAGTTTGAACTGACGAGGGAGAAGAAAAGGAGAATGGAGGCGGCGAGCTAAGCGGCGAAAGAATTGGAGGAGGTTAAGAAGCAAGGAGCGCAGATGGCGACGCAGGTAGACCTACTGGGGAAGATGGAGATCATGGCGAGAAACATAGAGCGCCTGACCCAGGTCCAGGAAAAACAATAACTGTTTGGTAGAGGTCAGAACATTGCCTTCTGCTCTATACGTCTGGGACTCAGGGACTTTGCAAGGGAATTAGCGACGCAAGTGGGCTCAGAGGTGAAGACCCGCCTAGAGGGCACAAAGCGTTATTGCACGGGTGCCATAGAAGGTGTCAGACTGGCTGCTCCCAAGGAGGAGGTAGCACGTCCCCGAAGGGAGCCTGTCAAGGTAAAGTTACCCGACTCCTATAGTGGACAGAAATAAGAGAATTTTGAAAATTGGGAAGCCATTGTCAAAACCTACGTACATCTGCAGAAGGTCTTCCCGGACGAGCATGTCCTTGCCCTCCGAGACGAAGCAGCGAGCTTCACCCGTTCCTTGTGTCGTGCCGCCACCTGTAGTGATGATTTAGCCGCTTATTCCGCGTTCACTCCCCTCATTGACTTCCTTAAATTATTGCGTGAACGATTCGCGGTTGTCTCACGCAATGTCAAAGCCTCCGATAGATTGCAAACCATCGTTAGTGGAAGAGTGTTAGAGCACTCAAGGGTGTGATCGATGAGCTCGTCGTCGTCCCGGACCATGGGGCCACTGAGACCCAAGTGGTCAACCTCTTCTATCGTGCAATGTCCGAACAGCTGCGCAGACATTTCTTCGAGAAGAGTCAGCAGCCTACCATGACCTATGACGCTTTGAGCAGGGAAGTGGTAGCCTTTGAAGTGCGGTCCATATCAATTTCCACTTTTTCGCATAAGGACCTAGACAAGGGCAAAAAGTGAAAAGGTCGCACCATCTCGGGACAAGTCAAGACCAAGGATCGTTTGATCCTTACTTTAGATGAGGGTGGTGTAGACGAAGTCCCCTACGAGCAGATTGAGTGGGGGTTTGAGGAAGAGGACAATAGCGTTAGTTAGAGGAGGACCTACTCTACTGTCGCGGCTGGAGGGAGGCCGCAAGGAGGAGGTAGAGGCCAAGGCCAAGGGGGCGGGGCCTCAAGGGGCCGTTCGCAGAGCGATCAAGGGGTTGGCGGTAGAGGAGGAAACTGCCAAGTGGGAGGAAGGGGTCAAGGTCCCCCGCAAAACCGTTCGGGGAATGGGTCGCCTAATAGAGGGAATAGGTCACCGAATAGGGAAAACAGGGCACCCTCGTGAAGAGGCGGTTGGCACCCAGGGCTACCACAAGGCCGGCCTTGAGAAGACTTGGGCCTGACCAACGCTTATGGCAACAACGTGTGGATCAGGGGCAGTGCATATATTGCGGTGACCCTGGCCACATCATCAAATATTATCCAAAGTATAGAGAGGCTCGTTCGGCTGCCCAGAGGTCAAAAGGCAGCCGTCGATAGGGGTAGCAACTGCCCCTTCCACAAGGCCATGTGGGAAAGCGAGCGCAGGCCGGCAAGAAACTCCCACACCACATATGTCGATGGCAGAGGTTGCAGGCCTGTGCCTAGATAGTTGTCCAGAGACTGCTTGTGTCAGAGTCTCTCTAGGCACTTCCCTCACAGGCGTGGCCGATGAGTTAAAGGAGAGAATGCCCGTCTGGGCCAAGATGAAGAAGGAGAATAGGGAACAACTAGTTTTAGTAGACGTAGAGATTTTCAGAGGTAGAGTAGGGGCCCTAGTAGATAGTGGGGCCACACACTTCTATATTAGTAGAAAGGCGCTGCAGAAGTTGAAGATAGGGCTAAAAATCCAGAAGTTTAACAAACCTTATAATGAGTATCCTCACAGACAATCGCACCATGCGAGTAGAGGATTACGTAGAGGGAGTCCAGACGTACTTTCGCCTAGAGAAAGATGATTTCGATATAGTCTTAGGTATGGATTGGGGAGAGGCAACCGGGGCCACACTCCATCTGAGAGAGCACGAGTGTAGGCTCCCTAGCCCGTCGGGCGGGGTCAAGACTGCCCGTTTGTTTCATGTGTCAGGAGTAAACAACTCCCTGGCACATTGCTACCTTAGCGCTCCTACGTTCGCGAGGTTAGTGAAGAAGGAGCAGCTAGAAAAACAGGTTTTTGTAGTCTACGTTAGGCCAGTTACTGAGCCTAAGGAAGAAAAGCCCATAGATCCCGTCATTGCCAAGCTGCTGGAAGAGTACACTGATCTAGCTAAGCCGCCTACAAGGGTAGTCCCGCGGCCCATCCAGCATTGCATTGAGATCGAACCTGGCAGCAAGACTCCTAAAGGAGCAGTGTATAGGCTGTCCCCGCAGGAATTGGAGAAGTTGCGCATGCAGTTAGATGAATTTCTACAGAAGGGTTGGATTAGGCCCATTTCGTCTCCATTTGGAGCACCTGTTCTATTTGTCCCAAAGAAGGAGGGAGAGCTTAGAATGTGCATTGACTATAGGGATCTCAATGTTATTACCGTGAAGAACGCGGAGCCATTGCTTCATATCGATGATCTTTTAGATCGGGTGCAGGGCTGCAAGTATTTTTCAAAAATAGACTTGAAGTCCGGGTATCATAAGATAGAGGTTCATCCTGATGATCAGTATATAAGACCACGTTCTTGACTATACGAGTTTATAGTTATGCCCTTTGGACTAACCAACGCGCTAGCAACTTTTCAGCGTTGTATGAATGACTTGTTCAGGCCGTGGTGACACAAGTTTGCAGTAGTCTACTTAGATGACATTCTAGTGTTCAATAGGACCCTCAAGGAGCATGAGGGTCATCTAAGACAGGTCTTGGAGAAGCTGAGAGAAGCTAATTTCAAGATCAATGCAAAGAAGTGTGAATGGGCAAAGACCTAAGTTTTGTATTTAGGCCATGTCTTAAACGGAGACGGCATCAAACCAGAAGATAGCAAGATCGCAGCGATTAGAGATTGACCTACACCCTGCACGTTGACAGAGTTGTGGTCGTTCTTAGGCCTAGCTAATTATTATAGGAAGTTTGTGAGAAACTTCTCCACCATCATTGCACCCCTTCGCAGGTTGTTGAAGAAAAAAATGATCTGGAGATGGGACAAGGACTGCGCGTTTGCTATGAAGAAGTTGAAGCAGGCGTTGATAGAATACCCGGTGCGTAAGGTAGTCGATCCGTCCTTACCTTTCGTCGTCACCACTGACGCGAGCCAGTATGGTTCAAATCTTGTATTACAGCAAGACGATGACAACGGATATAGACTCGTACGATGACAACGGATATAGACTCGTAGAGTTCATGTCTGCTAGGATGCCGACATCTACCTACGAGAGGGAACTCTACGCTCTCAAGCAAGCATTAGAACATTGGAAGCACTACTTGCTTGGGAGACACTTCAAAATCTACTCAGACCACGAGACATTAAGGTGGCTGAAGACGCAGGCCAAGATGACACCTAAGCTTACTAGGTGGGCTGCAGAGTTAGACCAATACGACTTTGAGCTTAAGCCAGTCAAAGGGAAGTATAATGTAGCTGCGGACGCTCTGAGTAGGACAACTAACTACTTCGGAGCAATAGTTCATTATCTGGATACAAGGAGAGACCTGCAGCAGAAAGTTAGAGAGGCGTATGCGCAAGACCCTATCTATGGTGACCTCCTCAAGAGAGTAAAGGAGGCCCCAAAGTTTGAACCAGACTACCGCACTACTGATGGGCTGCTGTTCGCGAAGACTAACGTAGTTGACCGATTGTGCGTTCCTAACAGTGAAGAGATCCGTAGTTTGATCCTAGGGGAATGCAACGATACTGAGGGACATTTTGGTTGGCAAAAGACTCTAGCTAACCTCATGTGCGCGTACATATGACCTGGGATGAAGGCCGACTGCATAGAGTATGTTCGCAGCTGCAAGGTCTGCCAGAGAAATAAGACCTCTACTCGTGCCCCTCTAGGTTTCCTCAGGCCCTTGCCTATTCCTGATCAGCCAGGAGATTTAGTGTCCATTGACTTTATGGACACCTATGTCAAGAGTAGGCACGGCAAGAGCCAAGTCATGGTAACAATTGATAGGTTCAGTAAGGATGCTGTTTTTGTTCCTTTGCCCTCAGAGGCACGCACATAATTAGTTATCCAGAAGTTCTTTGATCATTGGGTCAGTGAACACGAGATTCCACTGTCTATAGTTGGTGATAGAGACACCCGGTTCACTAGTCAGAACTGGCAGGAGTTGATGAGAGTCTATGGCTCCAAGTTGCTGATGTCATCTGGCCGTCATCCAAAGACTAGCGGTCAGACTGAACAAATGAATAAGGTCTTGCGGCAAGTTCTGAGGATGTACATTAGACCTGATCAAGTTAACTGGGATGAGATGCTCCTAAAGGTAGCCAGTGCTTATAACAACAGTACGCACTTAGCCACATGTCGCACTCCCAACGAGCTACGTAAGTCTTTCAGACCACGCAGACCGTTCGAAGGACTTAACCGGGATCAGATTCAAAGGCTACCGCCCGGTACTAGGGAGTTTATGTTACAGCACGAGAAAGAGTTAGCTACCGTTGTAGAGAACCTCAGGAAGGCCCAACATAGAATGATAGAACAAGCCCATAAGCACCGTCGCCCGTTGCAGTTTCAAGTAGGCGACTTAGTTTGGGTAAAGTCTAAAGAGTTTGCGCCTGAGTAGAACATCTCGCAAAAGCTATTGCCCGCGTATAGAGGACAGTGGTCAGTTCCAGAAGTTAAGGGCGGAGAGGATGGGCCGTCCTACACAGACCTACCCCATGTTTCATGCGTCAAAGTTGTTGCCCTGTGTCACAAGTCAACGGTTTCCATCCAGAAGATCCATGATCCCCCCAGACATGGACGGAAGGTACCCCATTGACGGCATTGTAGGTGAAGATGTACCTGTTACCAGTAGCGGATGCAGGTCCCAGGGCTCGATCCCTAGTCCTCACTTTACCTGTGTACAGTATCTGCGTCGACCCCGAGTGTTTGAACCCGTGACCTGTGTTTTGAGAGTTGTTGTTGTCTGTCGTAGGTCTGCGTAATGGTACAGGTTCGATCTGTAGATCTGTAAAGTAGGAGTCACAGCCCTGTAGAGGTCGTAGCTGTAGGAATCCTGAAAGGTCAAGGTCGTAGCTGCTACAGTCCTGAAAGGTCAAGGTCGTAGCTGCTACAGTACTCGAAAGGCCAAGTCCACAGACTTCCGGAAGGTCCGGAAGTGGCCTTTCGAAGCTGCCTAGTCAGAGGCATGGGGGCAAGTGGTGAGCCCAGCTGCATTACGTCAGCAGTGCGACTGCATTGAGTTGGCAGTGCAAACCCATGCAGTCAGCGGTACCGGTCCAGCAGTCCCAGTCCAGTCAAGCAAGTACCATGAGGGACTGTGTGCACCATAGGCCTGGTGGAGAGGGGCAGACCAACGAGTTACAGAAGTATAAATCAAGAGGCAGCACCCAGCCATTCATTCATTCCTGCGTAAGCCATGAGGAAGCGCTGCCACAGCGACTTGTGCGAGGTGGTCTGCAGTGAGCCCGAAGACGAAGTGGGCGAGAAGAAAGCTTAGCCATAGCGATAGGGTAGCAGCGGCCATAGCCGCCCTACCTGATAGGAGAGAGAGTAGCATGTGCAAGTGTGCAAGTGTACAGTGTGTTGCGTGTGGGATATCCAGGGTGATCCTGTGTGCGAACAGCAGTGTTGAGGAAAAGACGAACAGAGTGTTGTACAGGCGATGTGCCACCATAGTCATTTGAAGTGAACTTGTATCTGAGCTGCGTTCTTGGTTACTATACCTCTAAGTTCTGAGTGGGCGCTCGACGCCAGTTTGCTGCACAACCCATATGCATGCATGTGAACTGTGAATGAAAGCGAGTCTGATAGCCAAAAAAAAAAAGAAAAAAAGAAAAAACTTATAATCTTTTTATTAAGTTTTAAGTTTTTAACTTTTTATTCATTTTCGGCCTGGCTGGGCAAGTGGTCCGGGGACCGGGGCCACGCGCATAACCTAGAGTATACTTTCTCTTTGATTTCCATTTTTCGATTTGTTGTGTCTCATCTTTGCGCAGAGGCCATGCAAATAAATCTTGGTCTGTATCACAGCATACTCACACTACGACTTTTAATGTATTTTTGGACGGAATTTCTGCCAGATACATCCAGGTATGGCCAGGAATGCGGTCAGATACATTTGAAATACTGCTAGTGTGAGTACACCCTCAGTTGGATTTTTCTTTTTTTTTTGGGATAGATGTCCACAAGGGGGCACGTACTTTTCTGTGCACGTTAAAGACAGCGTCACTTACTTCAGGGCAATTCATAAGAGGGACTATGGCACTAGCGTCTTCACCTCAATAGAACGCCCGGTCACTATAGCCGTATTTGGGGCAACTTTCAGTCTAGATGCAGCCATAATGACAGGCCGTTCTATTTGGGTGAAGACGGTAGATCAATCTATTTAGCCCAGCTCACCGGTGCACCCATGCATCATACACGTAGATTGGCAACAGGGCAAATTTGAAATTTTGTATAAATAAACAAAATGCTTTCAGTCATCAATAGGGAACAAACAGGGAACTTTCTTCTTGCCATCCGGGGGGGAAGCGGGTGACGGGGAGAGGAGAAAGGAGGGGGGTCGTAAGGGGGAAAGCAGGACGATGAGGAAGTAGGAGGGGGAGGCAGGACGGGGAGCAGGAGGGGGAAGCAGCAGGAGCCAGAAGGAGGGGGGGAGGGGCAGGGGGGGGGGG